TTTTAATGTCAAGGTCACCAATGTTAAAAATAGATTTTTACAGGTGTATTGACCTTATTCTATAGACAGATGTTATTTATAATTGATAGAAACATAAACTACGATGGAGTTAGTGGTCAGTTGGGTCAAGGTCACCAGTGCTAAATATAGATTTTTACACATTTGCTCATACAGCCTTTATTAAGTGACAGATATATTTTATATTTGGTAGGAAGATAACTTGCATGGTATTCATCCTTTTGATTGGGGTAGGGATCAGTGGGTCAAGGTCACTTGTGCTAAAAATAGATTTTTACACTTTTGCCCATACAGCTTTTATTTATCGACAGCTGTATTTCATATTTGGTAGGAAGATAACTTGCATGGTATTCTTCCTTTGGATGGAGTAAGGGGTCAGTTGGGTCAAGGTCACCAGTGCTAAAAATAGATTTTTACACTTTTGCCCATACAGCCTTTATTTATTGACAGATGTATTTCATATTTGGTAGGAAGATAACGTACATGGTATTCTTCTTTTGGATAGAGTTAGGGGTCAGTTTGGTCAAGGTCACCAGTGCTCAAAATAGATTTTTACACTTTTGCCCATACAGCCTTTATTTAATGACAGATGTATTTCATATTTGGTAGGAAGATAACTTGCATGAAGTTGAATATTTTTCAACTTCACAAATCAGAGCAATGGCTTGGCAACTTATATTTTTCACAATTACAAAATGCCATGACTTTGTCAAGCTATATAACTTGTGTTTACAATTTTTTGGCAAATTTTTCTGTCCATAACTGAGTGAATGGGTAAACATTTTTTTGAAATATTGCTACTGGCAAGAATCTGAGACGGGGGCATTTGTGCTTAACAAACACGTTCTTGTTTTATTTCTGTTTATATTAGCCCAATCAGCAAAAGAATGCACCAGCCAAATTTCTTTTGCAAATGAAAGTGAACTCTGGAAAGACTGTTACTAACTAACTTTGCCAAGTTTGGTGATAACTCTTAAATTGGTCAATGTGAAGAAGTAGTTCAAAGTTGTTTTATTCATAGCTTTAAGAGAGATTTATATGTTTTGTTTTTCAGAGTATGGGCATTTGTTTCATAGGTAAAAGAAATTTCCATGATTTTATTGAAGAGTATATAGAACCAAAGCCAGGCAATTTTGTGAATCTGGTGACTGGAGAAATAATGGGACAACACAAAGGTAGATTTACTGTGACTAGACATGTGTGTATAAACATTTAGCTGCAGCTTTCCCCAATCAAACATTTCTATATAGACAAATAGTGATAATATATCAAAGCACAGGTGTACCGTACTTAGCCAGGTCAGTAACTAGTAACATGCTTCCCCAGACCCCTCTTTAACCAAAGAAAAAATAATTATATGACTGAAATCATTTAAAAACATAATGAGATAACAAAAATATCACAAATTAATACAAAAAAAATGAAATTTACTAGTAATCCAAAATAAGAATCTTACACCGGCTGCCGGTACAGACCAGAATATCTAGCTCGAGTGTAACTGTTTACAGCAAAAACAAGGCTCTGCACTAAACCACTAAACTGTTTCCCGAAAGCTTGATATTCCTGTCTGTAACAACAACCGGTATTTGATTCTTTATCTTGCATATTAATGGTACTGGGCAGGAACCAGTTTCCGGACAAGTATTATAATGGCTTAATTTTGGCTTTATCGATGACGATCGGTATTATATGTTATGAAGATGCTTGGTTTGATTGTTTGAGAAAATAAACTTCCTTCCAAGTTGATACATCATTATAATTTCGTGAGGATATCTTACCTGTGTTTTAAAAACAGCCTTATATCCCTTTGGGGCATGTAATTTGTTCTGCGCATGCGCAATATTTTGTTTATTTCGGGATATAATTTGGGGTAGCAATTAATGCACAATGTACTTCATTTGAAGTTCATTGGGTGTAATTCCCCAGAGCTAAATCTGTAACGTATCGGAAAACAGTGTTTAGCTAGATTTACTCCACTTTCGCACTTTGTTGCTGCGGTACACACAAAAATATCCGTTTCACTTTTCAGTCATTCCGAGACCCATCACGTGATCGTTATTTTTCCTATCATAAACATTTTTCAGTAAATCAGCTTAATTATATAAGAAAGCTAATGTGTGAGAAGAAATTTATTGTTATATAAGAATAATTATCAGTTAAAAACAGATATGAATAACAGCTTAATATATGTCCTGAAAATGGTTCTGCAAGAGTGAACAATTTACATTTTTGATGACCTAATTTAACCCTTCAGTTTGTACATTGCTTACGTCACCAGGCAATATTAATTGTGTTATCGGACGTAGTTAGAGGTCAGGTTTATGGTATGTTAGTTTTATTAATGCATGTTTATTATTAAAAAATAGACAATTAAAAAAACTCGAATTCTGTCCGGAAACTGGTTCCTGCCCAGTATTCAGGAAAGAAATTATGAAAAGTAATATTTTCATTTAGCACTTGTTTCTTATGGTAGCGTATGAACTTTATTCAGAACAGCAAAATAAAGTCATCCTAAGAACGCAATTCATTTATAAAAGGCGCATGGGAATGACGTCATTCAAAACACGTGACTTGTATTACATGGGGGGTGTAAGGCAGGTTTCTCTAGTGCCGGTGTAAACGGTACATAATCCTGTCTGATATGCAAGAAAAAGATGTACTATACATTATGACATACATTTATGTTACTGACCTGGCTATTTACATGTACTTTATGTTCACCTGTGTGACAAAGTCACTGTGTTGTGATCATGTGTGTTCTCCATCAATCATCACAGTCAGCATAATCAGACCTTCATATGAATATCTCATGGGGATACTTCTTTTAGACTTGCTAAAAAAATGTTTTGTGATAATATAAGATAAGTTTGATTTTGTTCAAAAAAATCACAGATTTAATGCCTTTAAGGATGACCCTCTTCTAAGATTGTCCATGTAATTCTGATCTGTAAAAGACATGAGTGCTAGGGGCATACTGTTCAGTGACAGATTTGTTGAAATAAAAATCAATCAAATAGCATTACCTCCTTAAAATATGTTATTTAACAAAACTTCCAAAGCAGACAATCCAGCATTCAATTCCTTGATTTCACACTGCAGACTCGCCCTCATGTATACAATCTGTCACCCAAAATAAATTTTTACAACAGCCAGTTTATGTGATTTATGCATTACAAGGATGATGGTCAAGCACAAAGACTGTTTAACTGTGTTGTCCACGGGACAGTTGTTCTTGCGATTTTTATGTAAAACAAGCTTATTTTTGAGAATGATAATGAAATAGTTATTTGATTTACAGGTATACACAGTTTAACACGAGGTCAGAGAACTTTAATAGGGGGACTTGCCAAGGCAATGTTTGTAGCAGAAAAGGACATTAAAACAAATGATATATATGTGGTATGTATAAGCAGTGGGTCTTAAAAAAGCTTAAAAAGTTGATTTTATCAGTTTTTTTTATTCCAGACTCTAAAGAATTTATAAGTGGGAAAAAGAAAAGCCTTTTATAAACAAAGTGAGAACAAGTCAGTAGCTTAAAAGTTATGGTTACACTTTAGACTTAAGGTAAAATTTTATGTGTAACATAATTGGTTGTGTCAAGTCATACATCCTTGCATTCGTGGATGGATTCGGAAATAACTAGGCCTTTTTTTACTTGTACATTAGAAAGACTTGTCACAAGCAAATGCCAAAGTTTATGCTTGAAGTCAAAAGAGTATATTGATTGTTTTTCAATAATTGGGCACTTTTAGAATATAAGAAAATAATTGTATTACTTTTAAAGTTACATTAAATAAATATGTAAAAATATTTTTCCGTCGGCCTAAAAATCAAAACATTCAACAGTTTCATTAACCTGTTTAAAAGTTTTGTTGTAAATCTCATCAAATATTGTTAATAAATTAGGATTTTAAACGGGAAACCCCACGGTAACACTAAAGTTCGTATACGAATTTTAACATGCAAATGAAGACTATAATGAGCTCGTGTATGCGTTACGTCACAGTTTTATAGTTGCTATCCTGAACACAGCAAATGTGATATTTTCTTGTGCAAACACATTTTAACCGTTTAAGCTTCACGGTGCACTAAACCTGGGGTTCAGTAAAAGTAATCATCTCGTAAAAAGATTAAATTTGTATGAAAACAACCGTTACAATGCGGAAATATACCGTTAAATTAGGACTGCCACTTATAGTCATGTTTGTCGATTTAATATTGATGTACGGATGATCAGAAGGCGGAGTTTCTCATGCAAGCAAAAATTGTACTTCCCATTTCGCCACAATGAGGTTACCTATTTTTATGCTAATAAAACTCATTTTGGTTATTTGGACACCAAAATAAGACCTGGAGTCGATATAAAACCCAATTTATTAATGAAATGTAGCTATTTAGTTTTTTATGAAATTTATTTAATGTAACTTTAACAATTACCATGCTTTAATTTGAAGTAAAAGAACATGTTTCTTTACAAGGCCTAGGGTCACGGTGGGGGGAACATTTATCTGTTTTCAACAACAGATCTTGTTGTGTCATGATAACACCCTATACATAGTGAATATAATAGGCAACAGCTTTGTGTAAAATTATTGTCTGATTAGTAACTTGAGAAGTAATTAGTTAAAGTTTTTAAAGAACATGACTTTATAATTATCTTCCTGTTCTTTATTTCGACACATCTTAATTATGAAGCCATTTTTGTTTTGACCTCGATTTCGATTTGGGGTTTCCGTGTGACGTCATTCCCATGCTTTTTTTGTAAGGTTAACATTTCAATGATTTCTATCAGCGAAAATTTAGCAATTAGCAAGTAGCAATTTTGACGTAATTTTTTCTTACTTTTTAACGAAAAACGCTTAAAAATGATGTTTTTTCTTATTACTAATTTTGTATAATCTAGATATTAAATTTTCACAAAATGACAGTCAGACCAGTCGACACACTAACACGCCGCTATTTTTATTTGTCATATTTTGATTATTTTTGTTTCAAGGATAGTTTTTAGCTAATGAAAAAAGTTGTTAAAGATGGATAAATGAATAAATTTTTCACTGCTTAGGTAATTTGTTAGTTGTCACCTTTTTTTTGTTATGGTACGTGGTGATTGTTTCTAATTCTTAGGTGCGTCGGAACTACATACACCAGGATATAAAATCAGATATGAGTTTTCTTAATAATAGGTTTGTGAATCATACTTGTTATAATACTATTATATTACTGATTAATATAACCTTGGTCATTATGAAGTTTGCACAAGTATGAAAATATGCCACTGTGGCTGGCAAATGATGTGGGGGCGGAAGTGTTATAAACACATTTAAAGTTTTCTGTAGAATTTATGCTTTTAGGTTAATACATTCTTTATTTGATTATGACATGTTAAATTATTTTATACTGCAGGTTCAAGGAACAGATCACCCAGCTTTGTTTACTGAAACAATGTTTACAGAAGAAGCTCACTGGATTAATAAACCACCAAGAAAACTTTTAACAGAACAAATGTATGACTGTGACTTTAAATATCAGCATATTATGCGGTCGATAAAGTGTACTGCAACATTAAGTGGTGGTAATTCTTTAATTGTTTCGTTACAAAAACCAATGAGAGCAATTAATGCAGGACAATATGCGGTGTTATTTGACGGTGAGGTTTGCTTGGGAAGTGCAAAAATACGACGTCCAGGACCATCTATGTTTACAATGGGTCACAGGGAACCAATGAAAGTTCATGTCACCTGATATTTGTTAAAACTAATATATTTTGATGTAAAATATCTATAAACTATGTTTTTATAATAAATTTTAATACAAATGTACTGTTTTTCTTATTCACTTTTCATATCAATATAGTTAGTGATAGTGATTCAAATATTAACTCTAAACAGTGATAAGTGTTTGCCACCATTATAAAGTAAAGAGAGACTGCATATCCTATGCATACTAGCCAGGCTCTATACTGTTGGCTGGCCAACTAAATATCCCCATTTATGGTTAGTTTCAAAACTGGAAGATGACCAATTAAAGAAATCAGGCAGGTTAAGGGATGAAATACAGAAAAAATCAACCTTACTTCAATAAAACAGCAAAATGAAGACTTTTATGCACGTTTTCAGTAGATTTTTTATGCCCCCGGGCATAAAGTGATTGAACCGTCCGTCCATCCGTCTGTCAGTACAAGGTTTACCTAGAACGGCAAGTTGGATTTTTCTTAAGTTCTACCTGTACCAATGGCTTCTAAATTTACACACTTACTAATCAATACAAAGTACATGATCTGGGCAAGTTACATAACTCTGGCTTTCATATTTTCCAAGTTATTGCCCTTTTCAGCACTTAGGAAATGAATAATGGTTAACCTAAAACGGCAAGTTGGAAATATCTTAAGTTCTATCTATACTAATGGCTTTATAATTTCCAAACTTACTTATCAATACAAAGTACATGATATTGCCAAGTTATATAACTGTGTCATCCATATTTCCCAGTTATTTCCCTTTTTTCACTTTGAAAATAGGGCCTTGTCTGGGTAACCTATTTCGGCAAGTTGGATTTATCGTAAATTTCTCCTAATTGCTTAATTTCTTTAATGATATCTTTCATATTTAGTAGGTGGATACCTTTGATTGTCCTCTAATTTTTTGTGGGGTAAGCGGCCTCGAGGGTCAAGGTCAAGGTCACTGGATTAAAAAATAAATATAAACATTTTTGCTAATACAGCCTTTATATTTTAGTTGATGTTTTAGTTTAATACAAACATGCCAAGGGAGGTCCTCCTTCTTTGGGTGTAGTAAGGGGTCATTTGGGTCAAGGTCAATGTTACAAATGTCAAGGTCACCAATGTTAAAAATATATTTTTACAGGTGTATTGACCTTATTCTATAGACAGATGTTATTTATAATTGATAGAAACATAATCTTTGATGGAGTTAGTGGTCAGTTGGGTCAAGGTCACCAGTGCTAAAAATAGATTTTTACACATTTGCCCATACAGCTTTTATTTCTTGACAGATGTATTTCATGTTTGGTAGGAAGATAACTTGCATGGCATTCTTCCTTTGGATGGAGTAAGGGGTCAGTTGGGTCAAGGTCACCAGTGCTAAAAATAGATTTTTACACTTTTGCCCATACAGCCTTTATTTATTGACAGATGTATTTCATATTTGGCAGAATGATAACTTGCATGGTATTCTTCTTTTGGATAGAGTTAGGGGTCAGTTTGGTTAAGGTCACCAGTGCTAAAAATAGATTTTTACACTTTTGCCCATACAGCCTTTATTTAATGAAAGATGTATTTCATATTTGGTAGGAAGATAACTTACATGGTATTCTTCTTTTGGATAGAGTTAGGGGTCAGTTTGGTTAAGGTCACCAGTGCTAAAAATAGATTTTTACACTTTTGCCCATACAGCCTTTATTTAATGACAGATGTATTTCATATTTGGTAGGAAGATAACTTGCATGAAGTTGAATATTTTTCATCTTTACAAGTCAGAGCAATGACTTTGCAACTTATATTTTTCACAATTACAAAATGGTATGACTTTGTCAAGCTATATAACTTGTGTTTACAATTTTTTGGCAATTTTTCTGTCCATAACTGAGTGAATGGGTAAACATTTTTTGAAATATTGCTACTGACAAGAATCTGAGCCGGGGCATTTGTGTTTAACTACACGTTCTTGTTTTACATCTGACTTAATGTTTGAATCAGCATGCAACTCAGCTGAAATGTAAAAGCTTCGAAAACTGTGCATGTCCCAACAACATTAGCTAAAAGTTTCAAGATATGAGCAATATCCTTTTAATAGCATTTACATATACAAGTTTTTTTGGCAATGCCATCATGTTTTATTGAATTAGTATCAAGACCAGTTGGAGAAAATGCAGTGCCCAAGAACTATAACTATACCTTTTGTTTTTATGCCCCCGGGCATATAGTAATTGAACCGTCCGTCTGTCCCTACGAGGTTAACCTAGAACGGCAAGTTGGATTTTTCTCAAGTTCTACCTGTACCAATGGCTTCTAAGTTTACACACTTACTAATCAATACAAAGTACATGATCTGGTTAAGTTACATAACTATGGCTTCTATATTTACCAAGTTATTGCCCTTTTCAGCACTATGAAAATGAATAATGGTTAACCTAAAACGGCAAGTTGGAAATATCTGAAGTTCTATCTATACTAATGGCTTCATAATTTCCACACTTACTTATCAATACAAAGTACATGTACATGATATTGCCAGGTTATATAACTGTGTCATCCATATTTCCCAGTTATTTCCCTTTTTTACTTTGAAAATAGGGCCTTGTCTTGTTAACCTATTCAGGCAAGTTGGATTTATCGTAAATTTCTCTAAATTGCTTAATTTATTTAATGATATCATGCATATTTGGTAGGTGGATACCTTTAATGGTCCTCTAATTTTTTGTGGAGTAAGTTGTCTCTAGGGTCAAGGTCACTGGTTTAGAAAATAAATTTTAACATTTTTGCACATACAGCCTTTATTTTTTGGTTGATGTCTTTCATGTTTAATACAAACATGCCAAGGGAGGTCCTCCTTCTTTGGGTATAGTAAGGGGTCATTTGGGTCAAGGTCAATGTCACCAATGTCAAGGTCACCAATGTTAGAAATAGATTTTTACAGGTTTATCAACCATATCCTATAGACAGATGTCATTTATAATTGATAGGAACATAAAATTTGATGGAGTTAGTGGTCAGTTGGGTCAAGGTCACCAGTGCTAAAAATAGATTTTTACACTTTTGCTCATACAGCCTTTATTTATTGACAGATATATTTCATATTTGGTAGGAAGATAATTTGCATGGTATTAATCCTTTTGATTGGGGGTAGGGATCAGTGGGTCAATGTCACTTGTGCTAAAAATAGACTTTTACACATTTGCCCATACAGGCTTTATTTATTGACAGGTGTATTTCATATTTGATAGGAAGATAACTTGCATGGTATTCTTCCTTTTTATTGAGTTAGGGATCAGTGTGTCAAGGTCACAAGTGCTAAAAATAGATTTTTACACTTTTGCCCATACAGCCTTTTTTTATTGACAGATATATTTCATATTTAGTAGGAAGATAACTTGCATGTTATTCTTACTTTGGATGGAGTTAGGGGTCAGTTGGGTCAAGGTCACAAGTGCTAAAAATAGATTTTTACACTTTTGCCCATACAGCCTTTATTTATTGACAGATTTATTTCATATTTGGTTGGAAGATAACTTGCATGACATTTTCCTTTGGATGGATTTAGGGGTCAATTTGATCAAGGTCATCAATGCTCAAAATGGATTTTAACATTTTTGCCCATGCAGCCTTTATTTATTGACGAGTGTATTTCATATTTGGTAGGAATATAACTTGCATGATATTCTATAGGTGTCAGTGGGTCAAGGTCAAGGGTGCCAAGTATAGATTTCTTACATTTATATATATTTGATAAAGTTGAGTATTTATCACTTCACAAGTCATAGCAATGACTTGGCAACTTATATATTTCAAAATTACAAAATGCCATGACTCTGTCAAGCTATATAACTTGTGTTTACAATTTTTTGGCAATGTTTCTGTCCATAACTGAGTGAATGGGTAAACATTTTTTGAAATATTGCTACTGACAAGAATCTGAGCCGGGGGCATTTGTGTTTAACAAACACGTTCTTGTTTTTTAATAACATAGGACTTCATGAGGAGGTTTATACTTAAGAAATGATTAATTTACGTACTTATTTTTATCCTGGCATCAAAATGTCCATTCAACAAGAGTTGTCTATTGTGAGTCAAATCTTGAAATTTCCCAGTCATGTTTGATTTTCGCGTTATTTTTTGCTATAATTGGCTGTAATTTTTTCATCTATGTTTGGATTCTCTTCATAATTAGACACATCAACCCTTTGGGAAAGACCTTTAAGTTGATTAAAATGATTGTGATTGTGCCCTTCACTTATCAATGAATATCAATATTGCAATAATGATTTTCACACTTGCTTATACAGCCTTTACTCATAAATTTATATCTTTTGTAGATAATATCTTGGGTGTTGGTGTAGGATGTGGTCACTTTAGTCAAGGTTAAGTGACTGGTAAAAAAAATTTTTTGCACTAAAAATGCAGCTTTCATTTATCAACTGATGTCTTTAAAAATTTGGTTGTTAAATACTCATATTGTCCCCTAACTTTGGTTAATTGGAGGCTATATCACTTGTGCTCAAAATAGATTTTTACACAGTACACAGTTTTGCTCTTAATGCCTTCATTTTATGGCTGATGTGCATTGAAATACATTGACAAGTGTGTGTGAGTTCTGGGAGCATCCATGGTCTTGGCCAAATTCTTGTTACAATAAAGGTGTTAGAGTTATGAACCGTATCACGTGATGTGGTCGATTGTAATGAACAGAATGATATTTTAAGTAATTCTTTAAAATGTTATGGAAGTTATAGAAAACCATGTTTTTACTACACAAAAACTTGAGTCAGAATCCAATGTATATTAATGCTGCAAATAAATCAAAAACAATTCACTTGTTTTACTGATTTTTATTTCATATTTTTTGTCTATATCTTTTAATATAAAAAATTTCAAATATTATTACAAATAGTCACGTTATCTTGTATATACAATAATTTAAAATCATTAACAATAATCTTCACAAAAATACACAAACCTAAATGGCAGTCATAACTTTGGACGGAAGATACATTCAAACACATTCAGATAATTCAAAAGCTACTATAAAACAAAATAATTTTGTATCCTTTAGTATTTTTACACTTCTCTACATGTATATCAATGTTAGAACATGCAGATACTGTTGCCATAAGCTCCTAAATAATGCATGCTTATCTTTAATATATTATCTGAACAAAGTCTTATAGTTAATAATATTATTTCACACATCCTTTACTTTGGTATACATGTATAACAAAAATTATTATGTTTTATAATCGATGAAATGCCATGATAATCAATACATTATACAGTCAACTATCGTTATCTCGACATCGCTTTTCTCGATATTTCGTTATCTCGATGAAATTTTGAAAGTCCCGATTTTCTTCCTTCTTTATCTATACTGGAAATATTTGTTTATCTCGATATTTCTATTTCGATATTTTCAGTATCTCGATGTAAAATTTCAGCCCCAACAGTTATTTTCACGCTATTATCCTTTGTTTATCTCGACTTCGTCTGTTCCCTTCAGACGTGTGAAAAACACAATCTAGACGATAATTGCTCAATTAATAGCGCGTGTCATAATGACGATTATGTTTGTAACAAGTTTAGCTGTCTTTATAAAAGTTAATCTATTTAGCGTGTTGATTGACTTATGTCCACAATGAGTGAATTTTACATTCTTTTTAAATATTCGAACACTGTATCAATTCATTATGACTTTAAATGTAAATGAAAAAGTGAAAGTATAGAAACGCTATCGTTGCAATATTGTTTCACAACATCACCACCAAATCAATCAGCGGTGGAACAATCTCGAGAAAGACCCGATAAATAACCCGGGAGGATATCCAGATCAACCATATCCGATATCCGATTCACTACATTGGTGTATTACTGAGTAAACCTCACTATGTGTTTTTATCACAGACACCCGTATTTCCGCTGGTAAACATCCGCTTATGTTACTTTGTTAAATATTGACTAGGCCTATGAAAACGAGACATGGGGATATTATAGTTTATTTGACATAAGGTATGCACATGTCTTTTGTAAAAATCAGTTTGCCTTGTTTTAACCCTAATATGTTTATCTCGACATTTCGTTATCTCGATATTTTTTGAACGGTCCCAATGACTTCGAGATAACGAGAGTCGACTGTATATTATTTTACCATTATATTGTAACAAATGTTAAAACATAATCTTCTTATTTAAAATACATACATTGGATGGGTTATTTCTCTGAGAAAATGTGTAATGAAGTTATTTCTTAGCTATGTATTTTGTGTATTACAAGCACCAAAAATGGATGATCAAACATTAAAATAAATGATTTTATTTTCAATAAAACATAGTTCATTATGTGTGAAATAAAAAATAAAAGTGTAAAAAACCAGTGTTATGGAATCTAAAGTGATTTGTTTAAAACTGAAAAAAGAAATGTTTTACAAATTAAAATTTACATTTTAGTCCTGTAAGAAAAACACTAATGTACACTAGTGTACACTTATCAACAATGATCATGGAAATTTGTTTGAACAAATAAACAAGAGTTAATATTTTCTTTTACAGTTCTTACGTTGTCTCAGTCATCACACTTGTTCTAAGGATATTTCAGAGTGCTTAGTTACATCCAATTAGAAATTAAATAATTTTTGTCTTGAGCTACAAATATTTGAGAAAATATATAATGATGTTTGTAAAAGACTTCCCTGAAATTACGGTACTTTTACTTCCAGAGACTTTTCCAGTTAACTTTATACTACTGCCAATGTTAGAGTCATTAAGTTTAAAATATGTTGTCCCTCTTGACCTTTTCAGGTTTAAATTCTGTCTATATCAACAACTGGATGTTTCAATCAGTTAGTTTAAATAAGAAATAAAACCATTTTAAAAGTGGCTTTTTCTGATATAGATTTAGATTATTACCTTCACAATTCAAGTTATCTGATTTACCCTAGTACAACATCTCTCCATGTTTCTTCATGTTAAACTGCTATATGATACTAGATTTTCTAAGAACTTTTTCTTTCACAAAATGATACTAATAAATGCAAATAAATAACATCACTGATTCATATTCATTTACTTTCTTATTTTGTTTGATAAATAAAACTTAGTTATAAAGTCTTTATTTGGTCATGACATTGTATAAGAATAATAAAAGCTACAATTTGAGTGTAATGAAAGTTACACCCAAGAAAAGAAGTAGGCTAATTCTTCTTCCTCCTTGCTCTGTTGGTCATTTCTGTCGTCCTCCTTCTTCTTGTGTCGTGGTGGCTCTGATCGGAACACAAGTTTTCTGCCAGTCTGTCAATAAATCATTGGTAAAATATGTCAAAACCATTCTCATGTAAAACTTATAAAAAATAGTGTTAAGTATTAAAAAAAAAAAAAAAAGAGTTCCATATGGAAATGTTTAAGCAATCAATGTTTATATAATTATCATATCCATTTTAACGAAATGTTGTAAGAAGCATGTTTTATCTGACGTTAGTTTGTACAAAAATGTAAAAAAAAAAATCTCTTAAAAATGGTTTTCAAAACTGGCAGTTTATAGAAAAAACTTTTGCTTTTCATTAACTTCTTAAAATGGCAATACTAAAAGTATTTAAGAAAATGGTCTTTTAACAATGTATAAATAGATATATGTAAAGCAATTTTTTGAAATTAAGATGAGGATATGCCCTCATTTTGGGGAGTATAATAACAATACAATTGATTTAGCAAGACTAGTAGAAACAAGATGAATAATGAGGTGTACCTGTTTCTTTGGTTCGGCCTTCGCTCTCTCCAGGGCCTTCCTGACTCTCTCTTCCTGGTGTAATCTCTGTTGTTCCATCTTCTCCTCACGTAACTTCAACCTACGCTCCTTTTCTTTTGCCTGAACAAAAGCAAAAAAGAATCCATATAAAGAGTCATATTACATTACCCAACAGTAAAAGAGAAGAGGCTGAAAGAAAACAAAATTGACCAGTTTTCTTGATAATTTTTTTCTGGTAAATAAAGGCTTACAATATATTATAAGGAAAGCATAAGCATCAAGACATCACATAATTTATTGCTTCTCAAACATTTTCAACATCAGGCCCGGCTTTCACTAACGTTCTCAAACTGAGATAAATCTCAACTTGAGATTGTCTCAATATTGACTGAGATTTTATCTCACTTGAGAAAAATCTCAAGTTGGCTTTCACTAAACCTTTTCTCAACAGTTGAGATTTTTCTCAGCTGAGACTTTCATTTTCTCAATGCATGAGCGGCCTTCTTCACACTTCCGTCGAATCGCGCATTGAAACGTCATTTTCCGCGAGAATTTTCCCGTACAAATGTCATTCGTCTGCTTCCAAAATATGGACTCGAAAGTGACAAAGAGGGCTCCATGGCCAGAAAAAGCCAAACTTCTGGCCATGGAGAAGTATATTGAACACCAAGATTTTTTAACGGGGAAATTTAAAGGTTGCGGCGATGGAGGGGTTTCCTTCAAAGAGAAAGAAGAGATTTGGCAAAGTATTGCCGACTCCGTCAATGCGTAAGTAGATCTAGTCTATTATCTTTCAAAAAATATTTTATCTTTCTGTGCTGAATAGTCGAAAAATAATGCAACTTGAAGTTTAATAAAATCTGACAATCGTAACAAAGTTCTGTATCAATATCGGCATTGGAATTTGTTGCGAAGTTGTTCCCCTTTTCTTAAGACACAGGAAGTTCGACATTTGCAATTGAAAAAAAAAAGATAACGGTCTTTCGACCAAAAATTAAGGATATTTTTAAATAAAACCTAACGAAGAAGAATACCAGCATTTTTTTTTGCAAATGAATGTCAGGTTAACAATTGTTTATTGGCTGGAAGCTGTCATTTGGATTGTATATACAGTTTTGGATAAAATCAAAGGAACTGACAGAAGCTGAGTCATTTTAACTGTTTAAAGTTTGATAATTGTTAATTGTAATTACGAACTAGATCTCTTGCGGTCTATGTTCGATGCTTGGTAACATTCTAGTGATTTTTTAGTGTTTCTCACCTAACTAGAGGTGAACTGGTCAGAAATCCAGGTAATCATGGCATGTATCAGTGCTCACAGACACTTGGAGCATGGACATCGCCCTTCTCAGCCCCTTTATATTAAGAACTAAAAGTATTGTTTATTACAAGAATTAGTTTTAAATTGTACTAATATTAGTATGAGACTGTTAAGTGTGTAACACATGAACAAGTTTGAATAGAATTTCATAACATTTTAAAAAATTTAATATTTTACAAACGCTTCAACAGTTCAATTTCCTGAAATAAAGATATTTTAGTAACAAATTAAACTATAATTATATATTAAAAAAAACGTTATACAAATACACAAAAATAATATTTCCTCCCTAATTAATTCATGTAGCTGTTCATCATGGCATATGGCCTAAAAAGTAAGTAAACCACTTGGCCCAT